CGTCCACCGCCGAATCCACCGCGACCTCCACCACGAATAGGACCGCCCCTACCTCCACCGAAGCCGCCCCGGCCGCCGCCGCCGCGACTCGGCTTCTTGACCTTGGGGGCGCCGGACGGGGGCTTGGGCCTGGGCAGGAAGCGCTCGAAGGGGAGGACCTTCTCGGCGCCGATGAAGAACTTGTCGCCGGGCTTGAAGCTGCCGGCCTGGATGCCCTCGGAGGGCTTGATGGTGAAGTAGACGTTGTTGATGGGGCCGAGGATCTCGTCGACCTTGCCGACCGAGGTCTTGTTCTCGAGGAAGATCTGCGCGTTGAACTGCGGGATCTTGTTCTGCGCGCTCACGCTGCTGCACACCATCTCGCCCTCGCAGGCGTGCAGGAACGAGCCCATCTCGACGATCGTGTCGGGCGGGCCGAAGTCGCGCTGTCCGAAGCCGCCGCGGCCTGTGGGGTGGTGGGATAGGTTAGCTTGCTGGCTCTTTGTTTGTTTGCGTGTTTCGCTGCTTCCTTGGTTGTTTGGGTACCCAGAGAGAGGAAGGGAAAATATTAGATACTCACCACCACCTCGACCACCACCAAAGCCTCCACCTCCACGGCCACCTCCAAAGCCGCGTCCACGCGGTGCTCCTCTCGACATTTCGATTTTTTAGTTGTATGAGACCTGGATTTTGTGTAGTCGTACGTGCTCTCTCCCTCGGCTCGTACGGTCGGTCAATTGGACACCCAGAGTTCGCGTATGTTGGCGCCGTGTGAATAAGGGTAGATTGTGAGTTTTTGGTTGGTAGCTCAGGATTTTTTTTCTCCCAATCGGTGACTATGCCTAAAACAGAGACAGAGCTTCAAAGTGCCCACTTTGTGGTGTGGGGCTTTGTGGCTTAATCCTCTCTTCGGAATTCGGAGAAATGCAACTTGGATTATGGTTTGTGTGGCTGTGCATTCTACTCGAGCTAAGGTTCACGGACGCAGGAGAACAGGATTTGACTTGGAGCTGGCGATGAGTGCTAAAATGCAACTACTAATTTCTCTTTTTCATATAGTATATTACCGTCACTCCTGACTCCTTTTTCCTGTCGTCTGGTATTGGGGCTTACTTGTTTAATGTATAAAATACGTTGGCAAGTTTATCTCTACTATAAATAATCACGCTCATATAACTATTGACTGATAACACTCCTACCTGTATACAAGGACTAAAACTAGGGGTCTATGAATATCCCTATCTCAGAGAATATCCTATGAGGCTTTAAAGACTTTTCGAGTCCGCTGACATTGCTATTTTTTGCCAGCTATAACAAAAGAAAATTGTATGTTGCGTTCGGAGCGTATACTAGATACGTTCTTCGATTCAAGAATCTTTATGACTTTGTCTATACCTTTTATATAGACTTCTACCGTTCTCGTATCACCCACGTCTAGTGACTCTGTTTTGTTGGCAGTGTGGATTGTGTTGTGTGTGTTACCACACAGCAATCTACAGGGATGATATATACTGGTGATGGGTGGTGGACCTATTTCATACGTGCTGAATCCATGTCTGCAACGAATGCTGCAAAGAATTGCATACGACTATCATGTCGGGGCAGCTGCATGCGAGCCATGCTGTTGTGTTGTTCTTGTGATAGGTATATAATAGGGCTAGCGTGTATATGTTTTCCTCGACGATTTTCTCCACGTATTCTTTCTCACAAAGAATCAACCATAGGTAGGGGTTACATAACTTGTTGTTGCGCGAGGAGCTACAAAACCTGCTGTGACTACTACTAGGCTATATACACACTACTCATTTGTTCCATATCTTGACATTCTTGAACTCGGGTTTTCTCTTGTTATCTGACTCGCCCTATAGTGGATATTTTTGGTCCCACTGGTTTCTTCTGTTTCCTGCTCTTTCGAGGTGGTATATTAGAATCGATCATTTTCCAATTTAACTCGTCAGGGTCCAGGCTTTCCGGCAGAGGGTCCCCTTTCAACAAATAGTGATAGTAAACCAGATTTATCGTCCAACAATAGTTCGCCTGATTCAATGCGTGTGTTTCCGGCTCTAAAGGCTAAAGACCTTGTGTTTCTTTTGGCTGTATATTGGGGACACAGCTTCCGTCTCGTCGCGCATACTGAGAAAGCTCGAAATGGCGTCTTCGCAAGTCAGCAGGGTTGTGAACTCACTTTACTCATAATGAGTAACTTGACTTACTCACTGAGTAACTAAGAGTCAACTGAGTTACTCATTTTCTGACTCATTTGCGAGCAAAATGACTAATTCGCTGTTATGCGCTAACCGTATAAGGTATAAAAAGAAAAAATAGTACTATGAAAAAGAAAAAGCTAAGCTATTTAAGAAAATATTAAAAGCAGCTTAATAGTTATTTTGTTGGTAAAGTTATTAATTGTTCTATGGCTGAGTAAAGCCTGAGTAAAAATGAGTAACTAATTAGTGACTAAATCACAACCCTGCCAGTCAGAGACGTTTTCCCGAAATGAAGATTTGTCTCGGAGACTTAGTCTTGTAAATATGAATTAGTCTTGTAAATATGAACTAGCCTTGTAAATATGAATTGCCGACATTGTAAGACATGCGCCGGCAAGCTACATGACCCTGCTCCTAAAATGTTTGGCCGCTTCTAGTTTCATATTGGCGGCTCTAGGGGTCGTATTAGTCCGATTCTCGATCGTATACGCGTCGTAAATTCATTGAAGCCATTTACGGGGGAGAGAGAGAGGGATGTTACATGATCTCGAGATACGGGGTTTATGCGCGGAAGAACAAAGCGTGGGTCGATGAGTATGATGGTTAGAAGGACTTGGTGTACTCGTCAACAATCTCGATACAAATAGTCAACTCATTCCCCGTGTTTCATCAACGATCCTTTAAGTAGACAAATATAACCACCGAAACTCAAGTTCTCTGTTCAACATAATCACCGACTTTCAACCTACTGTTAACGTGAGAAAATATTAAATCGCGTGGCATTGAGCTTTCTTGCAACAATGCCTATGGACGTGGAGAATTTCAAACGCAAAATGCAGCCATTGCTGGCCAAATTCGAAAAAGACCGTACGTACTTCATCTGTGGTGCCATACAACTATATTTATATGATACAGAACCTTTTCGATGTGTCTGGTCAGTCTACTCTCTATACGTTGTCGCATACTAATTATTGCTACTGGCGGATTAGTGGGATACACTGATGTCGAGGCGCGTAATTATCATGAGATTCTCGAGGAAATGCACCTGCAGGCAGCTCGTACAGGCATACCGTACACCAAAGATTCCACTTCATTGAATCAATTCATCGCTGCGGTTAACTTCGCGACTGTGAGTCTTCCTACGCCACTGGCGACACTAGTGGAGTTAGCATCTCATGCGGTTATTGATATAGTTAATTTACCCTTCCCTCCCGTTCCGCGTTCGTGTATACACTGGAATTTTTACCTGGCTGCTTATCTTGGTCGATGACCAGGCTGGCCAGGACCCCGAGAAATGGATCCAGTTCGTGCCTCGGTATCACGCCGCTGCCAAACACACCAACAACGCTGTTGCTCAAGCACTTGATAATCACCTTCGGACGACTTACCAGCACTATCCCACTGTAGTAGCTAACTACATTGTGGCAGACGTCATCAGATTTATCAATGCAAGCTGCATTGAAGGAGATGTGGGGAGCATTACTCGCACTGCTGCAGGGCAGAACGTAGGTCATTCCTAGGGTTGTCTTCCCAGGACAGCTATCGGGACATTGGACATGTCTCGAAAGCACGCAGGACCCCTAAAAAACCAACCTTCTCTTACATAACAGATCAATTACTGACCCCAGCGAGCTATAGTGGCCCGAATTTTATCGAAAGATGAACGGTATACCGGAGGCATATATTTTTATGTCATTTCCAAAGCAAATATGCCCTGATTTGAACTGCTTCATAGAGGCCATTGCGGACATGTGTCTGTATATCACATTTTGTAATGATGTGCTTTCGTAAGCTTCCATACCGTTAGGATGAACCTTGAATAGCTTGACTGACGAGTTCGCTTCGTCAGCTTCTATAAAGAGGAATGTGTGGGCGAGAAGGACAACTATCTTAGCTCAAGGGCGTACTATGAAGGCGTCGGCGTGGTGGAAGTATGGGAGACGGTTGCCGATGAGGTTGTAAACGCATATCGTCGTGTCCAAACTATTCTTGAGGGAAGGTCGCCTTACACTCAGTTATGGAATGACTGGGCCATGGGCTATGTGAAATACCACAAGATCTCGGCGCGTTATAGGTTGCATGAGCTGGGCCTCGGCGACAGTTTACCCGAAAATTAGGCTGGTCATCGGTCTGTCTGCGACAAGTCGTAGGTAGTTAGTTATATCCTATGTGTGGGAAATTTCAATATATTTTCATCCGATACTACCATCAAAGTCAATTTCTCTACGGAGAGCTCTATCAATAATGAATGGGTCCTTACGCCTATGAGCATTTCACGACGTGTGTCGCATCAAACATGGTAAAATTAGGAAGGAGAGGAAAAGTGTTAAACTACTAACCAATCACCGTAGCGTTAAGAAAGAAGAAGACTAGCTAGACCTGAGTTTTATTCATCTCTATCCCTCAGTGTCTCTTCCCTTTACTAACTTGTCTCACCTGGTCATAAAATCCTCGTCATCACTGCTAGAGTTCAACATAGGTCCATACAAAAAAACCTAGCAAACTACACAAACCACCCAATCTCGAAATACACTACATCACTAAAACATTTTTATTATCAAAGGATTAATAGTAGATTACTGAGCTGATGTAAGAAAACCCAGCTTCTCGTGAAACTACGAATGTTTATCGAGAGATGCTGTTAATGATAGTGGTGGTGTGTGTATTCAACACGAGAGGAGATAATAATAGAGTCTGCATACACTTGCCCGAAACCTCACAAAAACTACCTGAAAGGCAGGCGTGATAGATAGTCAAGCTGTTCCCGCTGGCCCCGGCCTCTGGGCTCGTCTGCAAAATAAAAACTTAGGGAATTGAACCCAACCCGATTTGAACGGATGACCTTCTGGAGGCAGTTGTCTAAGCCAATTTTTGGAAATGGCCTTTAACACTGGAATCAGATGCTCTACCGCTGAGCTATGGGTCCATCATTTACTGCCAATGATGGACGATTGTGACCACAAAATCCAAATAAGTAGATATAAAAGGGTACGAGAGAGGAGATTGATTGAATGTTAAGTATGATTAAGGGTTTGAATAGAGAAAAGAATGTGCATTGCAGATGAATTGAATTTTGCATTAACAATTGATTAACGGTTATGGGAAATGCCCTAATAGGCATTGTTCACAATTAAGGGTATATATGTCTAAATAGATGCAATTGTTTTATATAGGAATAGAATAGTGATTGAACTCATGGTAATAACTTCTATTGTCGAGAGAGGACATGGCTCCCGCACCAGTATCGAGACGGGAATTATACCAACGGCATGATATATTTCCGAGAATGTTTGTCAAGTCGCAAGGGCGGTGTCTGACCTGCCGATGGCACTGTAATGTGGTCAGGAGGCGCCAATCTGACTCCTTTATTTTATTCTGATTCTTTTGCTCCGGGCGAGCAGTGGAGAGTCTATGAAGCGGGGGTATGTGGAACCAATCTGTTTAGGGATGAAACCATTCTCGACACAGCCCGTCCCTTAAGGTGGAAAGTTTGTGTTCTACAAAGTCTAGCCCTCGTCCGAAGTTGAAATAATGTACTTAGTTTGGGAGATGTACACCAAATACTTACGCTAGATACAGCCGAACCTACCTAGAGCAAGGATGTTGGCGGTGGCGCAGAACAAGAATTATACTGGACATGATTGGTCAGTCACATGATGTCATAACAACTTGGGGCACCTGCATTTCTACGCAAATGAAGATAGGGCTAGGTATACCCCACTTACCTGTTTAGTGTAGTGGGGAGAGGTGGACTTTAGGGAAGTACACTTACCTCGGTAGTACTAGTTTGTAGGTAGGTGGCCAGACGCGCCCAGATTCCGGCAGGAAACCAGCTAAAAAGCTTCGTCTAAAGTCTATCGATTTTGTTTAACGACCATGACTTAAGACGAGATACTATGTAAGTATATAGATAGCATGTTGTCTACTAAAAAGTAGTGAAGATCTGTAAGGCGTGGGGTCCGAGGCGAAGGTGTAAGCACGTATCCGTTAATAAGAGGCACATAACCAACAGTGTGTACACATATACAGCGCAGGAAATTACTGTGCCCTTATATAATCAAATCCGTATGTGTTAGTCTTATGTGCCGTATATTTATATTGTTGCCTAATTGAACGTGGATGATGAACATGCGAAAGAAAGTGATCGACACATGAACCGTACATATACGTAGGGATACGGTGACCGCTAATCCAGATAAGGATGATTGACAGGTAGGTGCAAGGATTACTTGCCCATCTCGATTACATACATTTGAAACATCCTGTACCTATGACACTGTGCAGAAAGCTGCTGTATGTAGGCAGCCAAATAATACAATGTAGTATGCAGTTAGTTACATGTACATGTAGCGCCTCATCATCTACTTTAAAAATAGAAGAAGGTTTCAACATATATGTGCAAAACCAACAATGAACCAAAAAAGAAAAGAAAAACTAGGTATGTAAGCCCAATTATACCTTGATGCGCTTGCGGCCTTTTTGCCCGTGGAAAAGAAGAGGGAGAGTGTGAGAAGGGACACAAACACCAGCCAAGCGTCAGCTTCTTCTACATGTACTGAGCATATAAGTATAGGTACTACGCTAGGTAGGTACATGGTGGTTTTGGTATAAGAGGTATGTGTACACACAAGCTAACGCTGTCATTTATCCTGTACATATGGAACATTGGTTGTTTTTTTTTGGGTTGTATTTGCCTAATCACAATTACACCACACACAGCCGCCCTTCCTTTACATACAGTATTATGATGATCGTTTTGCAACAGGCCACGGTTCACTTCACTGGCCCCTCCACGCTCAATACCTATTTTCAAAAGTTACGATAGTGTACTTGGCGCCACCTCCACGTCCGGGTACTAGTACTGATCTAGTACAGAAACCAGGACACGCTATACCATTGTTGGTGCTATTTTTCTGGTGGTCCGTATTGTTAGTTCGGTACTAAAATATTCTTACCCACACCAACTCAAACCAGGTACCCTCATGTAGCACTAGCCGTCAGTCAACCAAGTTGCTGGTAGCATACTTGAACTAGCGGATATCAGCTATGAAACATGGGCCCGAGTCCGGTGGCTCTCTGACTTTCTCTCCAGTCGTTTGCGAGTTGAGTTGCGATTGTCGACGCGCTCTGCAGCAGACAAGGCGACGACAACAACGACGATGAAGCACGACGACGGAGATGTCGAGGCTGCGGCCCCGCTGGCCAAAGATGACGGCAACAGCGACAGCGACAGCGCACGCGGCGACTTCGACTTCGACGTCGGCTACGACGACGCCAACGACGCCTACAGCAGCTGGGTGACACGGTACCGCGTCTTGTCGCGACAGATGTGGCGGCGCCTGCAGGTGTCGTGGCCCAGCTGGCTGCCCATGCTCAAGTCGAGCCAGCTGAACCCGCGCTACCTTGCCTTCATCTTCGGCATCTCGTTCATCACGACCGTCCTGATCGTCACCTCGTACGCCCCGCCCCGACTGACGGGCGAGTCCTCCATATCCACGGAAACGACGCCGACGACCACAACAACGGAGACGGAGACAGAAATAGACTTACCTGAACCTACCCACACAGGTGTACCTGGGCCCAACCCCGAGTTCTGCACGACCTGGCCTGTCAACGCTTTTGGGGAGTACAATGTCCGTTCGCACAATCGCTCCACTCAGCTCGAGCACTACAGCGTTGCGCCGGAAGGCGGTTGGCAAAAGCCGTCGGGCTTCAAGATCGTTGCCATGGTTTTCTTCGGACGGAAGCGATATGTCGATATTTTGGACTGTTATCTCCGCCAGAACCTTGCATCCAACGGCGGATACGTTGATGAGGTATGGTTCATGGTCCACACCGAGGACAAGGAAGACATCGCCTGGTTGGACGGTCTTATCGAGGATACACCGGACTATAAGAAAGTTGGCCAAGAGAACTGCCAGTCGAACAACAACAAATATGGATGCTTGTGGGAGCACGCTACTGCAGATAAAACCCTGTATATTAAACTCGACGATGACATTGTAAGCTGCCTTCCATATTTCCATCCAGTTATGTCCGTCTTCACTGGATAGACTGATGATATCTCGTGCCCGGCGAGGCGAGCAATGACAAGCTAACCTTCCGTGCCAGATCTATATCCATCAAGACGCTATACCTCAGCTTGTGCACACGCGACTTGCTGTGCCGCACGCGTTCGCGGTCTCGGCGCATCTAGTCAACAGTCCCATCACCGGAATGGAGCAGTTTCATCACAACGTCATCTACCCATTCGTGCCAGACCCAAATAAGAACCCAAATCACAAGGCGTCTGAAACATGGCGGCTGTCTGAGCTTGCCAGATATCCGAAGAACAAGCTGAAAAGGTTGCAAAACGGAGACGATAATAGCATCATGTATCCCAAGGTGCCGTACCGTGGCCACCCTTTCGTATTGCTCTCCGAGGATAACTTTGACCTCCTTCATACTTCAATGGGTCGCTACGACCAAGACCCCGGCCCCGACTTCATCGCTTTCAGCCCAGTCTGGAAGTCATGGGCGATGGCCGCTCAACAACAGTACTCTCTGCTGTATAATCTGGAGAAAAATCAGATATCTCGTTATTTCTTCGGGCGACCAGCGACATATCCCGAAACTGCCAAAGGACCGGACCAAAATACTACCGTATCGGCACCAAGAATAGAAGGACAGTCGGTGTTAGGCGGCGAGCAAATATTTGATACCCAATTTCGACGCTACAACCTCAACTTTTGTGCTGTCTGGGGCTCTGATATCAAGAAGCATCTGCCTATGGACGACGACGACGAGGACGCCATCACGAGGCTCATCCCGAAGGAGACAGGCCGGCCTTTCATCATTGATACGCGCGCCGTGGTTGGTCACTTTAGCTTCTACACCCAGGCTGAGGAGATACGCAAGACCGATCTGCTAGACAGGTGGCGTGCATTCGCAAACGAGGCTGTTTGTAAGCCGAATAATCTCAAGAAACCCTGGGATCTGCGCTGCCCCAAGTTCGAAGAAAAAATCAATCATTTGGGCCGGAGAAATTTTTGGTCGAGGGGGATAATATAGAAGATGGGATAACGCCGTATTCGTTGCTTCGAACGAACCGCCTCTAATAACTTGTGATGGCACGATAGTATACGGCTAGATAATCCCGAACAATAGATTGGCAGACGGCGTTTTCTGGTGTTTTTGTATTCCACGCATGTATATGCAAACCAGCATAGCCCAGCAAGATCTGTATTGTTCTGTCGGATTCAGGGTAGGAAGTGTGGACGGAAACGCAAAGGGAGAGGAAGACCGCAGTATTCCAAGTGGATCTATCCAACTCCTTGGCCTGAGCTGGCTGAGAGTCTGCGGAAGACTCCGCTACATTCTGCAGAAGGCAACGACAAAGAAGGAGAGAAAAAGAAGAGGTCTACGCATCATGACGACATATGTACGATAAGATGAAGCATGTGGGGGGCAATAGGAGTGTTTCGCTTGATATAAGATTAATCAAGTTTTGCACTGGGTTGGGAATTCTAGAAGGTGAGGGGAGGGGAAAATGTTCTGAATTTTTTTGTGCGTCATGACCTTTATTTCTGGTTCAGCATTACGCTGAGAAAATCTAAGCTGGATTGTTAGGGTGAGACGAGATTCTCTTGATCATATATTCCGCGTGATGAAATCGACTCTTGAATGCTGCCGCTCTTCCATTCTTTCGGTTTTGCGTGAAGTGGTTTTTGTGTACGGCCAATGATTAGTATCCCTAAATTTTGGGGAGTTACCACTGTTTCCTTTTATATTACAATGCTGATTTTGGCTTCATATCTTGTGTTTCTTGACTTTGACTTTGACGTATAAGAAAAACAAAAGTGCTGTGCTTCCCTATTAGTTCGTCTCTGAGGAACCAGCTCAGCACTTCCACCCTACGTAGTATCAGGTATGAAACTGCATCGAAAA